AAAATCTCGATAATTTTTCAACATGAAACTTCGACAAAAAGTTAAGTAGTCGGATATGATAGAAATATACATTGATCAGTTCAGCTTTTCATCCTGATTCCCAATATGATACTTTTATTGCATAAAAGTTGAGTTCTGACTGAGAAAATTGACAGTTACAAGCAGAATTCTGACTTTTTCGTCTCTGATTTAGAAAAAATGAATTTTGTCAGCAGCTGAAAGGAATTTCAGAAAAAGCTCTCCATATTATTTTCGTCCACACAAAGACAAATCGACAACAATGGAAATAACTGTTCCGTCTGTTAACAAAAAACCTTGACAGGTTTGCACAAAACGTTGGTACACTTTACACTATGTTGGCAAATAAAGTTTTAATTTGACCATGTTATGTGTGATAAAGCTCCGATAGATCTACGCTCAGTCTTACATGCTGAATCAGAAAAAAGAAACCGCACAGCTCCCGAATGAAACTATTTTATTATGTCTTACATAATCTATTCCGAATACTGAATGAGCAGTGAGCTACATCTCTGTGTAAATCCAAGTTTTTTCTCAAGCAGAGAGCTATTTACATTAGTCGACGGGAGACTATCAAGATGAAGAGAAATTCATCGGAGAGTTCCTCACGGACGAGTTTTGCGCCCGCCTGTCATTTCGGATTCCCGTAATCGAAACTTGAGTTGAAATAATCTTACCTGTTTAGCAAAATTGTTTGTGAGGTAGCAATAACGCAAAGTCTGAGCAATCTGCATTTTGCAACATATCATACACCGCTAGATAGCCCGCGCTCCAAAAATGTGCGTTTTTACTCTTCAAAACCGATTTTTCATGTCGAAATCGGACAATCGAAAATACTCGCAGTCGAAAAAGTTGAAAAATCCTTCGGATTAGAAAAAGGTCGAATTTCTACCCGTAATTCTCAGTTTTCTCCATCAAAACTCAACTTTGGTCTAATACAAATACCATATGCGAAATCAGGATCAAAAACTAAAATCGATTAATATGTACTTACGAACTTTTAGTTGACTTTCACTTTCATTAAAAACCTCGGCAAAATTTCCGGTTTGAAAATTCAAAAAAAAATTAAAATAGTCGTACAATAGAAGTCCACATGGCATACCGAGAAAAAATGAATTTTCTTACCAACAAAACAAAATTTAAATAAAAGCTTCTCAGGTAGTTTGACGAAGTGTCAATGAATGTTACAATGACTCACAAACAAAACTACATAGGTTTACTAAATTGTATGCTCGTACCTAAGACCGTCACATAGTGACGTTTGTGATGGACAAACTATTAATTTTGAAACTAATCAAATATCATTTTTGTCCTCACTTACGACACTGAGTAAGAAAAAAATAGTTTCAAAATGATAAAGAGAAAAATAAGGCAAAAATCAATCTGTTTCTAACTCGTACGCTTTTTCAACGTTTAAGACTCATCGAGTATTTTAGTTAAAAACTACATTTTCGGCACCGGCGCAACGCGGGATATCCAGTGCCGTATGATATGTTGCACAACGCATTTTGTTCGAGTTTTGCATTATGGACACCTTACATGCTATATAATGTGCAAACTAATCAACATCAACGCTTTCCAAATATTAACATGCACCATAAAAAAGTTCTTAAGTTGTATGAATATTTGAATCCTGTCATATGAAGGTTTGAGCTGAACACATCAAGCAGGTGGAAAACAAATAGAGCGAACGGACACAGTTAGTAAAACGTTTTTTCACCGTCTGTATTTAGAAGTTCTTTGTCGTCTTTTGGTAAGTTATCACGTACAGAAAGCAACATCTTTTCTTCTTCTTCGTTCTCATGTTGTTTTAACCGTTGTGAACTATGCCAATAACCATAAAAACCATACATAAGGAAACCTATAAATGCATAATACTTTAAGTGTGTAGAAAACGTATCTATAATTTATTCTCACTAACCGAGAAACATCCATACGACAAATCTGATCCATGTTGCTCGACGTAGTTTGAGAATTAAATATGTATTGATCAACATGCTCAGCAACGGCACGAGAGGAACCAATGGAACCTTATAAGAGAAAACAACAGAGAAATTAAAATATAATAACGAAGTATTAATACTTCGAATGCGACTTGTTTTTGATGTTTTGGTTGAAGTGCAATAATAAGAAGTAAAGTTATTTCGAGTAAACCTGATATAGCGAAAACGACAATCCATGGAATACTTTTTAATCTCGTAAATATTAGAATTGAACACAAAATAAAATTGTTGACAACTAGAAAGGAAAAAGAAAGCACTCTGTAATATTACACTGATTAGACAAACGCTTGAATAATACCAAAGACAACTAATGAATATTGCATAATTCTTTGTGATCGAACTGTTGGATAGGATTGTAATGGTAGAAATAGTTCCCGTACAATATTCATTCGTATTGTGAGTTCATCGATTGTGTGTGAAGATTTATACCGTAGAAATAAGACGGTTATTGAAACGAGAGTGTATGCCATCAGAGTTCCAATTGTCGTCATTTCAATTAATGTTGATAAATCAAATATGGATGCAACTAGACCTTAAGACATGAAATACAACTTGAAAAAGTGTAGATATTAATCAAACGAGCATATACCTGTTAACAAACCACCGATAATAGTAGCGACGATTGGGGTTTGCAATTTCGGTTGTATGTATGAAATCGATCGGAATATAAGTCCATCGCATGCTATCGAATAGATAAGACGTGGTAAGGCTATCATTCCTACTAATAGATTCCCAAACAATGACACCAGTGCACCAACACTAATAACTTTTGAAAATGCCGGGTAACCAGCATACAAAAATGCTTGTGTCAATGCAGTATTTTTATCAAGTAAGAAATATGGAACCTAAACTTGAACATTTATACACATATGTAATCATAGATGTGGTAACGAATTACCATGAGTGTAATCACGATCGATGTAGTACAGTAAACGAAGAGGCTAACAATTAAAGTTAACAATATGCTTATGGGTATGGACCTGCTAGAATTTTGACTTTCTGCCCCTAAAACATACTTACTGATAATAACAGACACGATTAGATAAAAGTAAAGAAAAATAACCTGTGGTCGCCAAAATATCGAAGCCAATAAATGCATAGAAACATGTTGCTGCACCACTTAGCATTCCACTAATACCATATGGGAAAAAGCCACCTTTTCCAACGTTAACTGATATTATTGTTCCATTATTAATAGGATGAATTTCATTCGGTTTAATATTCCAGTTGTGTATATCGACTTTAGTAAGACCAACAACAATCACCAGAAGCGTAACTAGTAAATTAATCACTGTAAGAATTGCATTTAAAATTGAACTTTCTCGAACGCCGATGACAAGTA